GAGGAATGTGGGTAATTATTGTTAACTAGCCAAGCACTTGTTAGACGCGGCAATGGCCGCACACCCCACGTTTCAGAGCGTGTGACGCTAGCCAGGGTTTGTTGTGGGTCCAATTCTGCAACAGCAGACAGTGAGGTTTGTGCCTTTAAGTTTATTACAAATCTACGCAAAAAAAAAAGACAAAGAGAGCGAAAAAGAGAGAGAGAGAGAGACAGAGAGTTTGTTCGTCATTTTATGAATGTATTATTTGAGAAACACAGTCTGATGTGCCAAACCTTAGTGACGCACAGAGAGAGAAACACAAAACCGAGAGTATAAATTTATATCAAAAGAAAATCAGCTTGAAAAAAATACAACATGATCTCACACACATGCAAATTCTCCTTTCCACAACAGAGAGCTTATGTGAGAGGACAGGAGATGGGAGATTGCTGGGAAGAGACACAATGGCGTCATGATAGCTGGAGTGCCACCTTCTGGACACACTGTTTATTTAAGTACTAGTGCTGCTGGGTTTTGTAATGTGGTCTGATAAATGCTCCCCATAGACCTGATAAAAATTGCATAATTTGGGCTACGAAAAACTACCTGTTGCCCCACACAACTGATAAATATAAACTCTCTCTTAATGTAGAGGTCATTATCTATTGTTTTCGTGTACTGTGTTTGGATTTATTCAATGTTGACTGCTTCATCCTATTTTTAGTGTTGTGTTTTTTTTATTTGTTATTACTTTTAATGGAGTCTATAAAATACATCTGACCTGACTTTGGCTTTTTTGCCAAATGAATTGGCCTTGGACTTGTAACAATAACTTTTTGCAAAAATAAAATAAAATAATCCCCAAATTTGCCCTCCCAAAAAGTTTTAAAGGGATAATTCATTCTAAAATTGAATTTGCTCTTGTCTGTACAATAGCAATAAACAGGCCCTGGGGAAAAAAAAAAGAAATACTGAATAAATAAATTAATAATGACTTAAATTTTGGCCATTTCTCCACAACAAGCTATTTTATGGTTTCCAAGGACTTGGAATAAAGTGCACAAGTTTTATACATATTTTTGTCACCTTTGTGCTTTTTAGTCCTCATTCACTCTCATTATATTGAAAAGAGTGAGCAAATTAATCTTTAAAAAATAAAAATAAAATCCATAGGGGGAAAAAATCATAATGGTTCGGAATGGCAAAGGCTGAGTGAATAATAACATTTTTGTTTTTGGGTGAAGTATTTCTTTAAATCTCAAATACATTTTGGGCTTTTTTTGCATTATGATCTTTTTTCCCAAAAAAGTTTTTGTTACAAGTCTCAACTCCAAAAGGAAAGGATATAATCTGAGGAAAATGGTAAATCCTCACCGCTAAGATCTTAAAGAAGGATTAGATCACAGTCTAGTCCAAGGGCTTGAGAACATACACCCATTCACTTTTTTATAGCCTAGTCCACACACAGGCTCTTTAAAATCTTGTCTGCACTTCAGACGCCAATCAGTAAACATACATCCAGCAAACCTTTAATGCCTGAGGAGTTTCCCCACTCACACAAGATGTGCATCTTAAACATGTGCTTGTCCAGGGCAGTTTCTCAGCTCTTTATGGCCTTTTATCTACATGAAAGGCCCTGGACTGGGAGAGCCAACATTACGGCTCCATCAAAGTGAAAGCTACTGACAGCGCTGTCCTCCATAACGGCTCAGGCCATTAAAGGCCCTGTCACAGAGCCTTCCCAGAGAATCTGCATAATATAACGGGAGTGTGTTTGTGTTTCTGTATAATTGTAGGTTTCTTTGTCTCAATTAACTCTACAGGAAATTATTCTGCTATTCTGACACTAAGGTAAACAAGTACAAACCTAAATTCAATCATTAATGTGCATTAAAAGGAACTAACATTTCCATATAAATTTAACCAAATTAAAAAAACAGAAATGACAGAATTTAAACATCTAGAGTTTGTGTTGCAATATCTAACTTATCTGCGAGTAGAGCATTAGCCATAAGAACAAGCTACTATAGGTACAGGAAATTAAAATGAGTACAAAATTAAAACTGACAATCCGAGACACGTTCAGCACATCTGTGAACCTACTGACCACAATAAAAGCCTTAGTGAGAACACAGTTCAGTCATTAAACAACACATAACACTGTAATTGCATCTCCACAGTGAGCACTTCCAAGAAATCTAAACAATGTGATCCTGTCAATCAAACTGAGCGCCTATAACGTAGATGGTGTTTAGAGGTTGTTTTCAGGTCGGTCATACCTCCTGACACCGGAGCATCCATGAACACTGCTCCCATCTTCTCAGCAGCAACGGCCATCTCTTTGGACACTGCAGGGTCGATGGTGCTGGAGTCAATCAGAAGAGTGCCTTTTTTTACCTTCCTTAAAGAAGAGTGCAAAATCAAACAGAACAGTTACTATGGCCTATGTTTTATACACATTTGCATGCACATGCTTCTTTGATGTTTGTTAATGGTAACATGCCATGCAGGTAAACAATAAAACATTTAAAATTGCTGTATAATATACTGTATATTCAATAAACATTATGCAAAATTAGTTCATTTAATCTCATTTGGAAAAAATGATGAATGCACTATATACTACCATTCAAAAGTTTGGGGTCTGTAAATTTGCCTTCTACAGACCAGAATTTCTTGGAATTAAGGAAGATTTCAAAGAACTACTAGATTAAGCCCAGACTTGTACTAATCATACAGTCAGTGGAAACTCCTTAATCTTGAACTATTCTTAATCGCTATAAATAATACAGACACATACTGTGCAGATTTATATCCAATTTAGACACATATTGGTAATGTAAGACAACAGTTTCTCCAATATGTTAAAATTCAGTCAGTATCGAATTTAACACTGTTGAGAGTTTAATGTGAAAGGACTTACTTAAGTATGCCATTGGGTCCTGTGTAAACCTCAATGACGTTGGGGCTGGACGGTAGCATGGTGATGATGCGGTCAGCTTTATCAGCCACTTCAGCAGGGCAATCCAGGATCTGGGAGGACAAGCAAGGGTAATTATTTGCACAGCCTCATTCACAGAACTGTACAGTCTAGATGTAGGAAAGATGGTGATAGGTTTTGTTTTAGCGCATTGTTTGAGAAACAGATACTTATACCTGTGCTCCTGAGTCCTGAAGCTCCTTGAAAGACTCTGGGAAGACATCAGTAGCAATGACAGGATACCCATGCTTCAGTAAGTTTCTAGCCATAGGTGTCCCCATGTTACCCAGTCCAATAAAACCCACTGGGGTCTTGGAAGCCATTGATCTACAGGATACTGAAAAACCACACACAGACAGAAATCATAAATTACAGTAAAATAAAATCCTCCCTATAGACACAGAAAGCTATGATAGTCAAAGAGTGCACTGAAAACTGGCAACAGAAGATTTTTTTAGCCTATCATGTCTATAAAACAGAGATTCACTGGAGCAATTTTGTAAAAAATCAATGTCAGTATAACATCGAATACATGGAATAACACAGTGAGCACTATTGAGAAGTCTTTGCAAGATTTCTTAACCCTCAATATCATTTGCTTATAAAGACCTTCATATCCTTACAGATCCAGATGTTTAAAGAAAAACTCTAACTGAACTCTAAGAGAAAAACTGATATAGACAAAATAAACATTTAAAATGACTAAATGAGGTGACAAAAGCTGAACCTGGTGAGAAGGCTAGGACGTGTATTTAATTTGATAACACAGTTTATTTGATTATTTAGCTTATAGTTTGCAGCTGAAACAGTTTTTTTTAACTGTAGTGTAACCTATGAGCTCCAAAACACCAGATGCATTGCACAACATTTCTGAACCTCAAAAAGTAAACAGTGACTTGCTTATTGTGCACAATGTTTGTTTATATGCTTTGACATATATGTCCAAGCATACTTTATACATATTCACATATTTTGCAGACTGACAAACAAAACAGATGGAAAAAAAACATTTCCATACTGCTCTTTGCAATAACATTAGCGGTGCTTTAACCCCCTTGGTCTGTCAATGGATAATTAATGAGGAAACAACATACCCAAAGTGAGCTCCACATGGTTATTGCTTCTTTTATAAAAATTCCGATACCCTCTAAACAAAGCGGCCATGCTTATTTCTCTTGACCTCAGCTCCTGACAGTACCAGTCATGAACTCAGGGGGCGGATCCTATGATTGACAGCAACATTCCTCCAATCACTGATAAGGATTTGCGTACCGACCAATTAGAAAGAGATATCGTGCAGTTTCTCCCAGAGTTGCTGCTGTGATTTCTTTGAATAGAATTAAGATGATACTTCTTAAAAGATTAAGAATGGCTAGACGCTTTAGGCTTCTAAGTGAACTTATGACCATGTTGCCCAAATCAAAGAATGACAGTTGTGCTAAAATCTCTTCGTTGTTGTTCTACATAATATAACACTTACATGAATATTTTCAATAACAAACGCTGCAAAATAAATAAATAATATAATTTTTTTTCTAGTACACACTGATCATTTCACAAATAGGACTATTCACAATTTCCTTTAAAAGGTAGCGTACTTCATAGAGTTTATAAACATATTCATAGACATATTTGACATTCAGAGATATACTTAATATACTACATAACTAGATATACTTTTTATATACGTTTTAGCTATCTCTTAACATATTAAATGATAAAACGTTTCCTAAAACTATAATATCTGCATACAATATAACCATATTCTTTTAACGTCTTCAGTAACGCTTGGCATTTTTCCATAATATTCGGATTTAAATGATTCGTTTACGAATCGAACGGAATCAGTAAGTTGATGTTGAGTTGAGTTGTTCTGTTTGAGAGAACCGATTCTCTGAAAAGAATCATACCTCCCATCTCTATTTTGTCGGGGTTATTCACCAGCCAATGATAAAACACGGATCTCGGTGACCAGAGTAAATAAACCAATCACAGTGCGCAACCGACCGGAAGTAGGATGACGTTTCTAGATTCTCAAAACATGTTGACACCCGGTTCAGCTACATGACAGAGACACTCTCCATCTGCGTTATCTAGCAATCTATACAACTAGAGTGACAGATCTTCAAGTAAACATGGATTACAGGTATAACGGACTTATTGAGTGACGACTGTAAGATATATAATGATAATCTTGGAAATATATGTTGGAAATGCATGCGGTCCATCTCGATGTATTTAGGGGTGGGATTGCAGTGGAATTAATAAAACTCATCAGCTCATCCTCTAAGGCCACCGCCAGTAATTTACGTCGTATAATAAATAACTTACATGTATAGAAAAATGCTACATCATCTAGTGTACTTGTAACTACCATTAAATTCCGCAGTGACTTGTTAGCGACATGATGCAAGTGAAATATATCTAGAAAGTCGCTTTCGGTTTAAGCAAACATGCTTTAGTATGATTAACAAGGAATGTTATGTTTTAAACCATCATATAATGAGTTCAGTGCGAATATGTTATTTGCTGTATTGAATCGAGCTGTCATTGACGGTTAAGGCCTGAACAGGGATGACAGCAGCACCAGCAGTGCCATGCATACAGGCCTACTCGGCATCGCCCCATCCGGCCTGCAGTAGGGCAGGTCTTCCTCATGCAGCTGCACATGGGCATAACCCAAATGTATGTCAGCTCCAAAATATTTAAGCATCTAAATAACATTTTAATGCAGTAGAATGACCTATAGTTTATTGCAAATTCTGTGTTGCTTAAACACACCGTCATGCAATTTTCAGTGTAAACCTTTTTTTTTTTTTTTTTTGCTGCATCACTTTCAAAGCAGCATCATTAAATGAATATAAAGAATATAAACTTTGCGGAATTTAAATGAATCAGTAGAGACTTACTTCTATTAATTATTACTTCAGTAATAATTCATGGGCCGTATTGTAAAATTGACCTTTCATTCTGTAAAACCAATGTTTTCTGCATAGCTATGGTTGTGTTATGGCTCGCTGAGGTCTCTAAAAGTAAGATAAAAACATTTCAAATCACTATTTCAAGTCCTTTTATTTATTTGGTAAGGAGCTAGGTAATAATAAACTCATTCAGGGTGATACAAGTCCATGTTGGGGTTTATTTAGCAATATTTGACTCTCTGACTGAACAATATCCCTTGCCTGTATTATGAAAGTGACGTGACATGTGGCCAAGTATGGTGACCCATACTCGGAATTAGTGCTCTGCATTTATCCCATCCAAAGTGCACACACACACCGTGAACACACACCCGGAGCAATGGGCAGCCATTTATGCTGCGGCGCCCGGGGAGCAGTTGGGGGTTCGGTGCCTTGCTTAAGGGCACCTCAGTCGTGGTATTGAAGGTGGGAGAGAGTGCTGTACATTCACTCCCCCCACCTACAATCCCTGCCGGTACGAGGCTCGAACCCACAACCTTTGGGTTACAAGTTCGACTCTCTAACCATTAGGCAAAGAGAAACTGTGTCAGTTAAACCTTGTTATTTCTTTGTAATTTTCATTCCTTCTTGTTTCAGGTAGACCAATCACAGGCTTTCCTTGAGCACTTATGATGTTGTCAGCCTGTAATACGGGAGCATCTGCTGGTGGAGGAGGAAGTGTTGTCATGGAGACGTCTAACTTCGCCCATGTCATCTTCCAGAATGTTGGGAAAAGCTTCCTCCCGCAGGCCGCGCTTGAATGTCATTACACACTCACCCCCTTCATCACCCCACATCCCAAAGACTGGGTTGGCATATTTAAGGTTGGTACACATGACATATTTCACTAACATCTGGTCAATATTTAGTTTTTCATACACAGCAATGCTTTTTGTTAGAAAATTCTATCCACCCGATTTAATCTCACTTTTTTTTCTCTCACTCTTCTTTCATCTCGAAATTTAGTCTTGCACTTAATCAAGAGGAAATGAGCACACGGAAACTTTACATCTTGTTAAGATACAGTGACAGTTTATGACTGGTATAAAAGGCACTTCAAATCAACCAGATCTTTCCAGACAGCATGTAGAGTGGTGGGTTGCAGGGGAAAAATGTGGATTGGAAAAAAGATGGTTAATCCGCTCAATATCCCTGTTGTTTTGATGGTTAGTTTACGGGGGAATAGTGTTACGGTGTGTGTGTGTGATTGATAGCATGGGCTGTTGTGCTGGATGCTGTGGGCGTTTCCCACAACAAATTAATCCTTCCTTATGCTTTTGCTTTAGTATTTTCTCCTTTCATCCTTGTATCTGCAATAAGATTTAGTATAATAACAGATATTAGCTGCTATGTATAATGCATAACTGGATAAGATCAGACTTATATGGTAGACCATTATGGTTGGATGTATTCTGACAATATCTATGGACTCGTATTTAAATTATTAATGAGGTAATGTGGGAATTATTCCTCAGGCATATACACACACTTAGTACACACACCTTAACCTGTGCTTTATATTACTTAGAGAACCACAGGCTCCCTCTGGTGGTTTAGAGAAAGTTCTGCTCCTTCTGGAAAGCAGCAAGTTGCATAATAGTTTTAATTAACAATGTTTTTTTTTGCAAAAAAAAAAAAAAAAATCTGTGTGTAGAGGTTGTTGCTGTTTCTATTTTTACTCAGCTAAAATAGAATTACATTACATGCAAAACTTAATTTAAATTTTTATATTGAATGTTGTTAATTATGTGTGAATAACTGCACTTTATAATATTTTTTATTTTTACTTAAAATGCAAAATTTCTGTTTTAAATTATTAATTTCATATTTTAATTAAATGTTATGAATTATATATAAATAACTGTATTTTATCTTTTTATTTGTAAAATTCTAAAAAAAAGAATCAGCTGCAGCTTTTTAATTTGTACTTGCAATGTCCCTTTTTATTTAATGTGCAAAATTTCTGTTTTAAATTAAATTGATATTTTCATATGAAATGACATTAATTATATATAAATACTTGTACAGTATTTTATCTCTTTATATGTAAAGTTTTACATATATTTAACTGTAACTTTTTTGTTTGTATATGCAGTATCCCTAAGTGTAAAAAAAGAAAACCTATATTTTAAATTTGCAGAGTGGACGAATATAGTACTCTTTATGAAGGAGTATGTTGAGGCATGTTGAAATAGGCTACCTTTAAGCAATACAAAAAATGCTGTGTAATCATGCATACACACAAACACACACACTCACTCGGTGTACTATATAATTAAGTTGTCGCACACATGCCGAATATGTTCTTATGCACCTGATTTATAGTTACGTCAGCCCTCTTATTATTTAATTTATCGTTTATCGGTCATGTGTGTACAAGCATGGCTTGTTTGAAACACACTCGAATTCCTTCTCTCTTTTTCTTTCCTCTTGCTCTCCTCTTTACTTCTCTTCTCTGTAATTAATAGTTGATTTCTTCACAGATGACTACGTTCCAGATGAAAGCAGAATACTTTCTGTAAAAAAAGAGATTACAGATGTGATATATTGTAATCAAAGTAAATGTCAGGTAGTGCTGTGAAAAATCACGATGACAAATTGCTGATAGTGTGTGTGTGTGTGTGTGTGTGTGTGTGTGTCTTGTTTGTAACTGTAAGAAGTTACTGTATGTGACATGTTTATGATGGTGGACTACATTCTTTTCTTCATTTCCATCATATTTCATTTAAAACTGCATAAAACCATGCAATCACTCATTTTCACACACACACAAATATGGGTGGTTATGGAGGTGAAAATTTTACACGTGCTTCAAAGGCAGAAATGATGAAATTCACATGCACACTCATACTTTTAAAAGTAACCACACAATTTTTAGCCGCCTTTGAAGAATGTGTAAAATTTTCACCTTTTTCGAGGTCCTTTTTTTCCATTACTCCTCCTTTTCCAACCCTACACACACACACTGTGCCCCCTTTTCTGGCTAAGAAGTTCAGAAAGGAGGCTAAGTGTTTCCATCCCTCCTTGAGCTTATTGTGATATTTATAACCTGTGAAAACTATATGAGACAAAGTAATAAGACTTCCCACAGGTTTAATGTATTGTTAGTAAGTAATGTTTCTTCTTTCTCACTTTCTTTCCATCTGTTTTGACTGTGTGATCCTTAAACATTTTATGTAGTCTCTGTGTTTATATAGTTTTGCTTGTATCGTTTTGGTCAAAATGAACTAGTCTGTGTTTTATACGTTTTACTTGTAACTGTTTTCAAAGGCCTTCATTGGTCTGGTCACAAAAGTTTTAGTTCTGACTCACTTCTGGTTTGCTGTTCTTATGTATATGTGTGTGTGTGTGTTAGGTGGGCTGGAGCAGTGCGAGAGACTACTACACGTTTCTCTGGTCTCCCATGCCTGAAAACTACACTGAGGGATCCACTGTTCACCGAACCATCATCTTTCAGGGTATACACACACACACACACACACACACACACACACAGGTTTGTTTTTATGGTTTATGGGGACTCTCCATAGGTGTAATGGTTTTTATACTGTACAAACCATATTTAATATTGCCCTACACCAACCCTACCCCTAAACCTACCTCTCACAGGATTTTCTAGATTTTCTCATTCTGAATTATTTATAAGCCTTTTGAATTACGGGGACACTGAAAATGTCCTCATAAATCACCTTCTCGTTGTAATACCTATGTCATACCCATGTTATTATACAAATTTGTGTCCTCATAAACCACATAAACATGCACACACACACACACACACACACACAAAGTCAACATGTATTGCCCTATGCAACCTATTTTACTTCTGTAATTTGATGTAGTGAAAAAGGAGAAAAGTGAAGGGTGGGACATTATTTTATTTTTCCGGAATTGATTGGATGGTTAAACTTGCTTTTATCCATCATAATTTAATTGGACTGTGAAATTGGGTTTTATTCATGTTAATTGTTTTTAGTTTTTTGTGCAGTAAGACCAAATAATTTTTTATTTAATGTCATCATGTTTTTTGTTTTATTTGATTGGATGATTAAAAATGGGTGTTTATTTTTATTTTTATTTAAGTAAAAATTAAAGAGTCATTATTTTTGATTTCAGAACTTTTGAAAGTTCATGCAGACTGAATCTGTGATGTTTTGTTTTGTTTGTTTAATTTTGTAGGGAATTTTGTTTTTGCTTTACTTTGTTTGCAGATGACCTTTCTATTGTAAGTTATAGTATAAGACAATACATCTAAAATGGTGAAACCTGTAATCAAATACTCTACATGCTGTTTCCTAGGATATTATGTTCCCCGTAGTGATGGTGAGTTTTATCAGTTCTGCTATGTCACACACACGGGTGAAATCAGAGGTGCGAGCACACCATTCCAATTCCGCCCGGCCACACCCACAGGGGAGGAGCTACTGATCGTGGAAGATGATGGGAACTCAGACATACTGGTTGTGACGACAAAGACTGGACTACTTGAGGTATGCAAATCACACAAACAAGAATACAAATCCCTGCTTTGTTCCAAAACCTAAGGCATCACAGGTGCACTCTTGATACAAAATGTAGACAACCTAATCATGCTGTCTCTTGAGCTGACTTGTTTTATCCAAATTATAAAGCAAAATTGCATGTATTGTTTGCAATGATGCATTGTGACAATCCCAGGGGGAAAAATACAGGAAAAGAGAAATGTCAACGATAAACACACTGTTTATAATACAATACAGTAGAATACAAATAGTAAATAAAAATGAATACATTAAAAAATATATAAACATCTGTTTAGTTCAGCACTGAAAAACATTCTTTAACAAAATAGTGCAGTGTAATTAAAATTGATTATTTTCCCCAATATTTGTGTGTGCTGTATTTTAAAATGCTGATAGATTGATGGATGGATGGATAGATAGATAGATAGATAGATAGACAGCCTTCTAAATCAGTCACTTATGAGCTTCCATTATGGTAAGATGCTGTCTTAGACGGCAGCTGTCTATTTAGGAAGCAAGGCATCTCACTAGGTTTTGGAACAAAGCTTGTGTCTTATTATCTTTATATGTGTGTATGAGCAGCAGCGTGTTGAGGAAGTTCAACAGGAGTGCAAAGAACTGCAGAAAGCACTACGCCTCCTCACACAGGAGAGAGATCAGCTACAGGAGAGACAGAGACAACAGAACCAGGTACTAAATACACACTCGCACATAAAAGTGACCAACCAACGAAGCAGCAAAGATGGCTTACACACACACACACACAGTGTTTAAACAGCATGTAACACACACCAGAGATCACAAGTTCAAGTTATCTGCACATCAAAGCGCTCTCCTGTGTGTGTTTGTGCACATTGGTGCTTTAAGACTTTCTGTCTCCAAGTGTAAAACGCTTCTCTGTTTGACTGACGGTGAACTTACTCCCACAAAGCACTTTATCTTATCAGATAATGGCCATGTGCGTGTCTCTGTGTGCATTACTGACCTTCCCCATAAAGTCATGTAATTTATCCATACTTAATTCTGACTGTGCTGAGGATGATTTACTTGGAGTGAAAGAATTGGGAGTTTGAGAAACCGAGAAAGAAAGAGAGCGAGACAGAGAAAAGTTTACTTGGACATCTGTTATCATGGCAGTGCCATGTCGACCACAGAGGGTAGACGTGACGTCAAACGTGTGCACGCAGCCAGGAGTTAATGTCCACCAAAACCATTCAACAGAAAGGAGGAGACCTGCCCAGTCACTGAGACAACAGCAGCCAGTCACGCCATTTTCCCTCTCCCGCTCTCTTTCTCTCTCTTTTTCGTCTGCTAATTTTGATTATATTTAAAGGTGCTGTATGTGATTTCTTTTTTGAAATACCACACATAATACGTCACTACTACCTGATACATATAATTGAAATGTGTCCTGTCTGTCTTTGTAGCAGCCTCATGCTCTGATAAGAGCATAAAAATAGGCAGCTTTTTTGTTATTGTTTTTCAGAAACAGTCTTGCCAATCATTTCATATCTAAGCAGTTAGCAAACATTGGATTGGCTGATGTCTCATTAGAGGGTGGGGTTTAAAGAGGGGTGTGTGATAGTTATAATGTCAAGTTAAATAAATGCATTGATGTTTTTCATTTTTGTTGGTTAATGTTGATAGCCCTCATTTTTTTATTTCCTATTAATAGCTTCTTTATTTAAAATGTTTAATCTGCGTTTTCTGAACTTTTTGTCATTCCTGTTCATTTGACTTTACAAAATATGGTAATGTGACGGTATTATCATTATTCAGGTACCAGATGGTAATACCATGGTACTCTGATGTAGGCTATATACACTATACAATATTGTGAAATATTATTACAAATTTGTGTCCTTGTTACAGTGAAATTATGCATTTAAGTACTGAGTAATATTAATTAACTGCATGCACTTATATGGTTAGGTTTATGATTAGGGTTACTTGCATCTAATTATGCATCATTTATTATTATTACAATATTAAGTACATGTAACATATGTAACAAGGACACCTTAAAATAAAGTGTTACCCAATTTTGTATTTTCAGATATTTTGAAATGTAATTGGTAATTTTCCTGTGATGGCAAAGCTGAATATTCAGCAGCCATTACTTCCATCCTTAGAGTCACATGATCCTTCAGAAATCATTCTAATATGCTGATTTGCAGCTTAAGAAATGTTTCTTTTTGTTATCAAAACAACTATTCTGCTTAATATTTTTTTTAGGTTTATTTTTAGAATTTAAAGCATCCAAAGAGTTAAATTCTTTAAAAAAACAAACAAACATTTGAACAGTAGTGTACCAGTGTAAAGGCAGTTTATTTAGTTAGTCTATATCGTGTATCCCTTTTTAAATATTATTTTAAATGTATTTGCCTAATTATCACCTAAAACAGACTTTTTAAATTTTTCTTACCATTAAAAGAGTGCTAGATGGCATAAAAATTAGTAAATAAATAAAACAATGCAAACACCATCAATACCAAAGGATATTGTGGTGATCCCCACCCCTTGCATTGTTTATTTAATATGGCCAGCTAATTTCATCCATGTACCACATTTTACCATGTAAAATCCATTTCACAAAATGTGATTTTCCCCCCAGCATAAAAAAAGAACATCTTTGCAGATTCGGTTTGGCTCTGATGTGGTGTTGATGTTTGACTGCACAACAAGCACATTAAAATCTTAAAGGGCCCAGAAAACAGCAGGATGTGATTCAGTTGGTTTGCTGGTCTTTCAGCGCCCCCTGGTGTTTCTTCTGAAGTCTGTAAGTGTGAATTATGAGCGTCACAAAGGACAAAGAACACCACAAATAAAACATTAACACTTTTATAATTCTCTCTCACACCCCAGTCACACAAACCCTTTCATATGCCATAAGTGTGCGTGTGTCTGTTAAACTGTCAGAACTTACATATGAAAATAGACTTCCTCTTTATCGTGAGAACATAAGTATATATTTTGTGGCTGCTAATTTTACAACCTCACATTTTATTTGCCTGTGCTGCAATTCCGAAACATCATCGGCCGTAAAACACCACGAGTCACCAGATTAGCCAGAGGACAAGGCGTGTATGCGTGCTTTCAGAACCAGATGTTACTGTGATTTACTGATGACGACTGTTAAATATGAGCCGCCGCAACAAAAGTGAAATCGAAGCCCCCTCTTTTCCTGCTGACATCATACTATTGGGAAATTAACTTCAGCCATGGACTGTTTTTTTTAGGGAAAGACTGGATCAGAATAATACCTGCATTTCTGATATTTATTTTCTCTTTCAGTTAAGTCTCCTGTAAACTGCCACATTATCAAAAGAGTCTGTGAAGTCTCTATTATTCCCCATGAATTACTCTGTGTGTAACAATCCTAATAAATTTCTAAAAAAAATTTTAATCTATATGCTGTGTGTTAGAAGAACTTGTTTATAAGAGCTGTAAATTCTTCTTAACTTAAATATTTTAATTGCTTATATATTAATTAGTTGCTTATTATATATATAAAATGCCTGGAGTGTTCTGATTGGCTGGAAGGTGTGATTGATAGCATTTGCTATCCAATTGCAGAAAGGCTTGCGTGAGGAGAAGGAGGAGGCTCAAGCCAGAGTCAGACAACTTGAACAGGACCTGCTAGAAATCACACAAAAAGCTGTTCTTAAAGAGACTGAACTGGACTGGTAAGGCCCGAACACACATTACCTGACATGAATATATTATATTATTTACATATTTAAAGAAGGGTCCAAAAGTCTGAGACAACTAGTTTTAAATGCTTTATTGAGTATTTATTTGAATTTAATTATTTTTTTATTTTAATTTGATTTATTTTATCAGCATAACAATTTGAGGTAATTAAAACATTTTTTTTCAAAGTATTAGATAACCTGCTGATCATGTTCTCATATTTGAGATGATCCATTGACCGTCTTGTGTTTCAATGGAGGCAAAAACATCTGATCAAATTTGATTATATGATTAGTGACCTGCACAAATTTTAAAATATATAGGTCTATATATATTTTATTCCATAATGTTTCCGTTTTACATTTTTATTTTCAAGTCTGAATTAGATTTTGACTTGGACTCTCAGGATAAGAATGCAGATTTATAGTTGAGGGTTTATATGGTGTATTTTGTTTTTTGTGTCTTCCAGTTTAAGAGACAGGCTGCAGAAAGTGATTTCTGAGAGGGACGGTCTACAAACTCAACTGAAGAACGAGAGAGACGAGAGGGAGCTTTACAAAGTAAGTGCGTGTAGTATCTACAGGTTATAAACTGTAATCATATGCATCGATCAGTCAAGTGACGTGCATTGATCCATGTTGTGTGTTCACGCTTACAGTCTCACGTGCGCAGTGCCGAGCTGGAAAACACTAAACTCAGTGCAGAGCTGCAGATGCTGAAGGCAGTGGAGCTAAACAGAGAGGTCACCATCGCACAGTACCAGGAGGAACTGCACAGGCTACGCACAGAGAGGGACACACACCCCGCTGATGCCGTAATAGATGTTTGTTTAAAGAATAAATACAAATACATTAAATATATTTACTACCGGTCCAAATTCTGGAATAAGTATGATTTTTTTCCCCCTGTTTTCAAAAGAAGGTTCTTATGCTCACCAAAGGCTGCATTTATTTGAAGAAAAATACAGTAAAACAGCAATATTGAAAAATGTTATTGCAGTTTAAAATAACTATTTTAATATATTTTAAAATGTAATTTATTTCTGTGATAGCACAGCTGAATTTTCAGCAGCAATTACTCCACGATCTTTCAGAAATTATTCTAATATAGAAATATTTCTTCTTATTATAATGTTTTTGCTGCTTAATATTTTTGTGAAAACCATAAAAAAACTACTACAACTTAAATGTTTGAGATAAGAAAGATATAAAAAATTTTAAAACTTCAATGCTGCATGGATGCTCTAAAATTTAAAGTCTAAACTGATCAAAAGTGACAACATTTGTTTTACAAAGGATTTGCATTATGTTGTTCTTTTAAATATATTATATTTCAAATATATGTTGTTCTTTCTATTCATCATCAAAGAATCAGATTTCCACCAAATTATTAAGCAGCAAAACTGTTTTCAACATTGATAATAATAAGAACCATTATTAATAATTGAGCACTTAAAATAATTGTGCACTGAATCAGCATATTCAAATAATTTTTTAAGAATTACAGTACTTTTGATCAAATAAATGCAGCCTTGGTGAGTATATACTATATACTATATAGTGCTTGTTCACATAAATCATACTTCGTCTTCCTAATGCATTGTGTGCATCTCCAGTGTCTGAAAATGCAGTTGCGTCAAGCTGAGGAGCAGCTCCAGGCCTCGCGGCAGCAGGCCACCATGTTGGGTTCTGAGTTACGTGATGCCTCCGGCGGGCAAGATCGCACCATGGCTGAGCTGTACCGTGCCCGTCAGGAGACAGAAGACCTACGAGCCTATTTAGCTGAAGCCCAGGAAGAATGCAGACATGCTCAGAATCAGCTTGACAGGATGAGAAGCCAGGCATCACAGGAAGTGGTAATCACAACTAACTGGCCCTTATGTTTATTTAATTATGAAGATCTGTTAATAACAATATGAAGAACACATGGTTTAGACGCAATGTTTAGACAGTGTGAACTGTGAGATAACTCTCTTTCTTGCGTTCTTGCTTTATTTTATTTATTCTTTATTTTATTTCAGGGCAGGGCTGGAGTGGGTGTAGTTTCAGAGCTGGAGGCGGAGCTACAAAAGGAGGTTGAGGAACTAAAGCTGCGTCTGAATATGGCTGCAGAGCACTACAAAGAGAAATACAGAGAGTGCCAACGTTTGCGAAGACAAGTCACCAAACTGACACAGCAACAAGAGATGCAGCAGGGGGTGAGGAACTGAAATTATGGCTTTACCCAGTTGTTCATTTTACAAAAAAATGCAACTCTTACAATGATACACTTCAAGATGTTAAGCAATCATACATTTTGTTTTTATGTATGTTAGTTGAGGTTTATAAGTCGTGTTCATTTGTTGATGAGTCGTTTATAAATCGTGAAAACACCCTCCTATATTTTTGTGTGAAATCTTAAAGTATTACATATGTTTTAGGACTGTAACAGGAATGATGCCTCTACAGAGACCACACAGGAGTTACACACACCAGATGCTGAGACGCCTCCCACAGGTATTGGCAAGGAGACAAATGAATCGAAACACATTTAAACTCCAACACACATCGTCAAACTGGTTCCTTTAAAAATTAATAAAAAAAGTAAAAATTAATACAAAAATTATTGAATAAATAAATATGAGTAATAAAAGCTTTGGGTTCAGTAAGTTTTTTTGAAGTAAATGAATGCTTCAAATAAATGCCATTTATCAAAAAAGTTTAAAAAAAAATTTATATATACTGTATGTATATCAATTTCCACAATTAAGCAGCACAACCGTTTTCACTGCTAATAATAAGAAATGTTTCTTGAGCATCAATCAGCATATTGTAATAATTTCTGAATGATCATGTGACACAAAAGACTCTAGTAATGGAGTAATATATGAAACATATATTATTAAATACTAAACAGTTCATTTAAATTCGAATAGTATTAGTATCACAATATTACACTTTTTACTGTATATTTGATCAAATAAGTGCAGCATTGGTGATTATTATTATTGGTTATTGTGTCACGTCACACAGCAGTTTCACGATTTTTTTATATGCTCTATAATATTGTGACCAAATTCTTATGCATTAACATTTGAAAGATCAATATCCTGCTGAGATCAAACCTGTGACACTAAGAGATGCCGAGAGACTGGGAATTGAAGGCAGACCTGGACAGGAGGGGAAGGAAGAGAAAAAAGAGGAAGAGGAGGAAGACGACGAAGATGAAGAGGAGGAGGATGAGGACGAGGAGGAAGAGGAGTGCAGTGTGTCAGTCGAAGCTGAGCTTGCCTGCATGGAGGAGAAATGGAGAGAGCAGTACACCATCAATGAAAACCTGAAGCTCCTGCTAGCCAGTGAGGAGCAGCGGTTTAAAGTACGTAAACACACACAACACACAGAGGTGTACATACATGATTCAGGTTCCTTCAACCTCACAGGGAAGAGCCAGCCACAGATACTCACACATTCATTTGCATAAGATGTCAGTGCACACAAACGTGCAAACACTTCCACGGGTTGACTGAGGTATCACATTTCCGTCAGTCTTCTGAGCGTGTGTGAACACAGCAGTCATTAAGGACAGAGCTAGCCAAGTGGAAAGGAGGTCGTAAAGGACTCTTCTTGTCTGAGTATTTAGACAAAGCTAGAGACACCATCAAAAGGAAAGTCTTTTATTTACAGCATGTTTAAACGTATGCACACGCTCTCACCAAATGCTTTATGACTGTTTGCTGGAGAGCAGGGTAAGATCGTAGTAAACCCATTTCAACTGAACTTCAAATCCAAACAAGCATTTACACAATGATAACTCAAACAGAGAGAAAGAGAAGGAAATCAGCAGACCACAAAAATATTAATTTATAATATTTAATATTTTTTAAATAATAATATTAAGCACCAAATCAGTGTATTGGAATGATTTCTGAAGGATCATGTGACACTGAAGACTGGAGTAATGATGCTGAAAATTCAGCTTTTGCCATCACAGGAATAAATTACATTTTCAAATATATTTAAATATTATGTTAAATAATTATTTAAAAATTGTAATAATAATTGTCAATACGTATGTTTTATTGTATTTTTGATCAAATAAATGCTGCCTTTATGATCATACAAGACTTCTTTCAAAACTCGAAATTGAACTTTTGAACCATTAACTTTTTAGTGTTTCTAGCTTGAACAAATCATTTCGAAACGAATGGAAAATTTATTCAGTTTTTTTGGTCAAAAAATGTCTCAGTCCTGAGAAACACTCCAACATTTCAAGTCCAGAATTAAGATTGCTTAATAGCCTATATATGCTTGCTTAATAATCTATAGCCACTCCTCATTTGTTTTTAAATATTATAGGACTTGCAACTCACAACTCTGTTTCGTGCCTTTAGTGGTTTAGAATCACACACTTCACTTTCAAGTGGTGTTTTTAGAGCGGTTTTAAAACATATGTCCAGATGCCACTCAAAATAAATCGTATGAATTCCTTGATAGACTCAAGTGGCAGAGAAGGTCAGAGAGGTGTCTGCTCTGAGGGAGAGTCTTGTGGTGGTGACCAGGGAGAAAGAGAGACTGGAGAAGGTAAGAGCATTTATAATATAACCCTGTTCTTATCATTTTTGTTCCTATAAAGAGTTTGTTGTTATATACTCAAGTATTGTGTTCTTTGTTTGCTATCCAAAGATCCAAAAAGCTGCAATATCTTCTAAAGCTGGTATTATTAGCTTGATCTTCTAAATGTTAATGAGAATCTTTAAATATTAAATACCTTAATTTGATTCTTAGCAGGTAAGACGCTGAAATCAGGCAGAGTGTGAATGTTTGAGCCCCAAGAGTCACGGCTAAATGCCACATGCAGCTCCCTGATTACCCATCAGCACTTGTGTTAAATGTTAAATGTGCGAATAATTCCTCTAATAATGGCTCACGGATATGAGGTCAAAGGAGAAGGAAAGAAAGAACAAGAAAAAGAGTAAAAAAGCAAGGAGAGTTATACACTATGTCAGTGCTATTTACAGACTGGTAATATAGTACTCAAGATTTCAGTTTCTTTGGTTGAAGATTGTTGGCCAAAGAAGTTTAATTCAGGTTCTTGTCGTGTCTAAATAGCCGGTGTATAATTTTGATTACGAGATTATTGCAGTGCTGTAATTTAAGCATCAAGCTAGGTTTGTCCTTTATCTTTTGCAATTTCACTGACAATATTTGTGTTAGCTACTTTTACTCATGTAAGCGATAAATAAGTGTTTCTTGTCAGGTATGTTGAGAACTCACTTTGTGATCATATATTTTGTTGACTGTTTGTTTTTCTTGCAGGAGTTGCGGCAGTGTATGAACAGAGTGGAGGCAGCAGGGAGTCGGAGGTCAGACGTAAGAGAGCCAATGATTCTGCGATACCCACTGCCGTATACACAAGACCAACCTCCACCTCCTCTGGTGCCCCAACAACCAGCTGAACTGCAGTACGGAAACCCCTATTCAGAGCAAGAGACCCGGGGTGGGTGCAAGCTTTTGTCTACTTTTATTTATTTATTATGATTTTTTTAAAGTAAGTATAGTAAAAAAAAAAAACTACTAGATTATTTGAAAAATGTAGATTGATTGTCTATAATGACCTGTTTATGGTTGAATTTGTTTCATACTAAAGTAATAAAAGAGTAATATTTACTTTTTAAAAAAGTGTTTACTTAATTATTTATAATTTATAATTATTCAATCAATACCATTTAAAAGTAAAAAAATTACAGGTCAGTAGGATTTTTGTTGTTCTTTAAAGAAGTCTCTTACCAAGGCTAAATTAGTTTGATCATAAATACCATAGAACGGTAAAATTGTGAAATATTATTGCATCACAGTTGTTTTGTATTTTAATATATATTAAATGTAATTTATTCCTATGATCAAAGCTGAATTTTCAGCAGTCAATACTCCAGTATGGCTGATTTGATGCTTAAGAAACATTTCTCTATTATCAATATTGAAAACGGTTTTGCTGCTTAATATTTACATACAGTATATACATTTCATTTGTTGATGAACAGAAAGCAAAAAAAAAACAGCATTTATGTGAAATAGAAGTCTGTTGTAATGTGAAACAAGATTCTACTGTCACTTTTAAACAGTTTAATGCATAGTTGCTGAATAAAAGTAATAATTAAAAACCCCAAAATTTTTTATTGTATATATACTAAAGAATTTAGTATGTATTTTTATGTGAATAAGTGTAATATATTTGTTTTGCTGTCGTGTCGAAATTGGTAGAGTATCGAGAACATTGACATTGATATGCAACTTCTAAAAGTTTTTGTGATGTGACGGCCCTATTCAGAGCTTCCTGAATTGTTGTTGCTTAGATGGAGCAGATGGGGCATTATCCCCAGAACAAACCTGCAGGCCCCCTCCTTTGGCTCCACCGCCGTGGGGTGGTCCTGTGGTCTGCAGTCAGCCATCACGCAGTCTCAGCCCCCCTGATGGCCTGGAGAATCCCGCTGAAGAGCGGCCTAACGTAAGGAAACATGCTGTACGCAAAGACAGAGTAGTAGAAATAGTTTGAAAACTCCACAACATTTTCTACTGTGTATATTTCTTTGGCAGCTACATAGATGTATAATAGGCATGGTCTGTTTTAATGTAACTTCACACTGCTAAAAGTAGTGCTTGATGGATAGTATTGGAAGAGTGCGTTTTAATCTGGACATTGTCATTTTTAAAGCTGTTGCTTATCTGCAGTACATTGTTAAAACACATCCTGTCTGATGCTACAGTGACATTTAGCAGATGTTTGTTTTTTTCTGACGTTAAAGCTTTAAAACTGATTTCCAATCTTTTTGGTCACAGCACCATTGATAAAACTGATAAGTTCCTCTGTATCAACACCAAAGCAGAAATGTGTTTTTAATGATATTATACTGCATTTCAATAACTTAACAACACATCTGCATGTTCATGGTTCTCTGATGTTGGTTAATGGTCACAACATTTAAGCAAACAAAAGATTGAATCTTTTTATTGCGGTTTTGTTTTAATAATTTATGAAGGTATCATTTAGCATTATCTTAAAATAGCTATTATTACAATGATTCACAAAAATTCACTTTATTCCTTTCTCTTTAATGATCTTCCCAATTCTTTTTTGTTTGTTTCGCAAGATTTGACAGTTGTATCTAGCTTTGTGTCATTTGTGAAAGGAGGGTGATACAAGCATAAAAATACAGTACTATGGCTTCAGAGTTCAGACATATTTTTGTGATACATTTATGGGGAATTTGCATCTGTTTTGAAGCTTGACAACTTAAGTTACCATTCATTGTTTCTTAGAGGAAAGAAAGTCATACAGGTTAGACATGAGGGTGACAAGTTGTTCTTTTCTTTCAAATAGGACCCAAAAGCTCCATAACATTATCATAAAATCTACCCTCCTTATATTAAGTGTCTTTAATTACTTTGTACTTACATTTAAATGAATACACACTTATTTTATAGATCGTGTTTTTTACATTTGTACTTACTGTTAAAAATACCTTCCTGTTATTACATTTGTAATGAATATCTGTAGTTACATCTATGATTACACCGTCAACCCTACACCTACACCTTAACCTACCTTAAACCTAACCAGACCACCAAACCTTAACCATATCCCACCTCAACAGCAGCAAAAGTGATTTGGGTTGCGCTTTATTTTACAGCACGTGCACGTACATGTACTTACAGTGTACTTGCCTAAGAAAGTACTGGGTAATGTCAGGAAGGTAACTACATGAGTTAATGTTATGTTTAGGGGTAGGTTCAGGGTTAGTGCTTAGTTATTTCCCAGTTGATTACTATAATAAGTACATAGTATGTATATGCGGAGCAGGATTGTAAAATAAAGTGCTACCGTGATTTGCAATGCAGCATAAACACAATAAGTACATTGCACTAAACAATTGATTATTTTTGATGCAAGTACATTACAGTTAAAGACACCTAATATAAAGTACCCATAAAGCTAGTTTATAAGTTTTTGTAAGTTTCAGAGCTAATGCCTGGGTGTTATTGTGCCAGTCTTTAAACTGATATGTGGCATTACTATGTATTTTTGTCACCCTTTAGCAGCCTTCACTGCTTCTTCCTCTCTCTCAGCCTTTCTTTCTGTTTTTCAGCCTTTCCTCTTGACTTCAAACTCTTTGATTCACTCTTTTTACGTCTTCTCGTCCTCACTGCCCTCTGCATTCCCCGCACCCTCAGACCTCAGTTCATAGGTGAATACAGAGGTGGTTAATTTGCATGAAACGGCAATTAAGGCTTTTCTCTTTTGAGCTCGTTAGCGGATTAGAGTGACGAGGCTAGAGACTCGTTAGAGAGAGATGTTGACGAGGGCTATGCTAATTGACTGGGGGTGCCGGCCTGTGATATTTGAGGGTGCAGATCGGCGCTGACCCCTTTCTCCTCCTTTCTCGTTTGCTGCGTTAAAAGCCCATTAACCTTTGCAGGAAGCCGGCTGTGTGCAGACAGGCGTGGCTTTTCGTCCGAAGTGTGGGTGTGTGTGTCTGTGTCTGTGTGAGATCTTAGCTGTTATGTCTCAATAGAGAGGTGACAGCTAAATGTGTCCACTGAAGAACATTGTATTGTTATGTCTCAGTCAAGTAGAAATGATGTGTGTGTTTCATTTTGGTTTTTATGTCTTTCTTAGGGAGGTGATGGTGAGGCCCCTGTAGTCTGCGATCATCAGAGCCTGGAATCTAACGAGAGCCACACCAGCTTCTGCTTTGATACCAGGTAAATGTTTGGAAATCCATGCTACCTTACTCATAACTATGTTTGCAATATGTATACTGTACACCGTTTGCATTGAATACCTAGAAATAATATATTTGCACAAATCTGTGGTATACAACAAAAGCATACTGTGTGAACCACTGTATCCCACAATACGATCCTCTAGACCCGTCTTTCAATTTCCAGAGTGACAAATGACTAGAAGTAATATCAAATGTCTTTAGTAAATGTCTAGTAAATGTCTGTGTACGTTTTATTTCATACATCTTTCTAGGGATTTTTGACTCATTATTGGATCTGAATGCCAAAAGTTTTGGAGGACATACCAAAACAATGGGTTTTTTACATTTATTTAAAAAATGAAATAAAATATTACCGTAAACACTTAACTGGATGTCATTTGTAGTTTGGTGAGGTCATATGACAATGAAGCATACTACATATAAAGGTTTACAGTTGATATATGGTTAAAAGTGTGTGCTATAAACTATTCTAAATATTAGACCGTAAATACTACAGTATATACAGCATAGTGTGCAGCAGTGTTTAGTATCATTTATTTACTATGTTCAGTTTTTGTATATATTTTGAAATATATTTTATTTTTACATTTTCTATTTTCATTTTAATGTTAGCTAAAGTTTTAGTATATTTAAGTTCAGATTTTGTTGTTGTTGCCATTTTATTATCATGTTTTAAATATAGTCTATATAGGTTTTAGTGGTTTTGATTTGTTTTAGTTTTTTTGGTTTTGTTTCTTATTTATTTTTTGTTATTTTAATACTTCGAATTAAACTAAATGAAAATGAAACATGTTGCCTTGAAATCTAGCTGATTTTTTTTTATTTCAGTTAATTTTTATTTCAAGTATTGGAAATGCTTTTATGATGGTTTTAGTTTCAGTTACTAATAATAACCCTGATAACCAGTAAGCTCGTTTTTCATTTGAAACATAGCCCTGGAATTGATTTTCCATTTCCAAAGTGACAACTGGCAGAAAGTAATTTTTTTTATTTTTTTATTAATGACTAGTTGCATCTGACTGCCAAAAGTTAGGACTTTTTTTTTTTTTTTGCTGAGATAACTTCAGAGTCACTTGCTGACTAAACAGTAGTGAGATTGACAACTGCATACTGCTGTTAAAAATGTTTACTTTGTCATAGTTTCCATTGTAAACAGTTTTGCATAGTGTGTATTACACAGTAAGCAATAAGCAATCTTTCTTTCAAACACCTCCCATAGTTGTAGATTAAAACACTCTCTTTCTTCCCCACCCAGACCCGATGTTCATAAGCGGTGTCCCCTGTGTGAGGTGATCTTCCCGCCACACTTTGAGCAAAGCAGTTTCGAACGACACGTGGAGTCTCACTGGAGGGTATGTCCCGTCTGCAGCGAGCAGTTTCCTCTGGACTGCCAGCAGCATCTCTACGAAAAGCATGTGCACACACACTTTGAAGACAATGTTCTGAACTTTGACAACTTTGATTAGAGAAGAAAAAAAATATTTATTTGCTTTTAGTTTAATATAAAATGCCTCAGGTGATTCAGGGGCTTCAGTGTTTTGTTCGAAACACGCTGATGTTGTCACTTTGTCGTAACCACTGCACTCATGCCAGGAGGACTAGATTTGATTTGCACATAGACAAACATTAATTCAGATATTTAAACTTCTAAGGGAGAGAATACTGTAATAATGGTCTTCCGGTGTAATAGATATGTATAAAAAAAATGAAAAGCACTTTTTTTTTGTTTAAAATTGTGTACTACTGATTGTGCTATAAAATGAGAGCTTTAGGTTGTTGTTTATGAAAATGTGGATTCATTTTAAAGGACCAATGATGCAATGATGTATGTTTATTTTGCCAAAAGGAAATGACCATAATTAATAAACCCAAATCACTAAAATTACTCTTAAATCGTTACCTCAGAGACATTGAATGCTTTCTGTGTGAAGCAGTCACTAAAACACTAATTTAAAGGGATAGTTCACCTAAAATTGGATATTCTGTCACCATTTAATCGCCCTCATTTTGTTCTAAAACTATATAACATTCTTCTGTGAAATTAAATGCTGGTTGTGCTTTAAATCTTATTACAATAAATATAGACCAGAGCTTTTAAGCTTCAGAAAAGATGTAAAAGCACTATAAAAAATATCATAAAAGTGGTTTAAAACGGTTGAAGTTGAGCCAATGTACTGAATTAAAAGGAAGCCTGTTTCTGCCACAGTTTTGAACTCACAATTCTGAGAAGAAAAGTATTTGTGAGAAGAAAATATTTTTTTTGTTTATCCCATGGCGGAAACAAGCTTCCATACTGAATCAGTCCAATTTGTGAATGCAATTCATTTAGGAAGCTTGAAAGCTAGTCTCCATTTATTCTACTAGTAGCTCCTTTCAATAATCCAATTGCCATAAAATTTTCTTATTCTGTGTAATAATGATGACAAAACATTTTTTATGTGAACTATTTCTTGAAGCTCAGCTAAAATAACCAAGCAACTCAATCCAGAGAGCCAGAGTGCTAAAACTATGGCTGTGGATTTGGCAGCGACTTTTCAGTGCATCATTGGTTCAAACATAACTTAATACATTCAGTTTCAGCATTATATCCGTCACACATTCCTGCTTGAAATCAATTTATCCAACAAAGCTGATGCTTCACACTGTAAGTGTGCCAGGACGTTTAACTTAGGGTTGCTCTGTGTTTGTGTGTATCAAGTGTGTTTATTAATAAAGAATGCTACAGCTCAAGTTCATTCGTCCTTGTATCAGCAAGTCATCATTACATCAACACTCTATAGACAATAAAACAGAAACAGGCAACACACTTTTTTGCTTTTCTTTATTTTTGTACCATTATCCTAAAGTTTACATTGCAGCTTGAGGATAAAGACATCTCAAAAGAGTCTCTCATTCGCTCACACAAACAGGCACGCATGATATGTCATCTCACATACAAATTGCCTCGGTTCCACAAAACATTTTCCACAAAAACATACAGTACGAAAATATAATTTCAAAAGCACTTTACAAAAGACTTGCAATACGATACATTCACTATATAGTATATCAAACTCCCTCCAAAATAAATGCATCTCAGTCACATTACTACATTGTAGGTGTGAGGAATCACACGGATCCTATCCAATAAAATCATGTTCAACAGGTTCTAGTTTGCGTGTCGATGCTGAGACCAAATGACTCTGTAAGTCAAAGAGAGGTACAAATGTGGTTACTGGTACAGCGTCCAAAAATACACACATACAAACATGACACCGGATGAATTGGAAAATAACAGGACTCATAACATCACTCACAAACAGGCATCCAATACTTCCTTTATTCCCTAGCTCCAGTTTTTGGCATCGAAATTATAGTAACTACCCATTCATTCAACCTCAAGCCTCTTTTTTCCAAGAAATCATGGCGACAGTCCAAGATATTAGCATTTAAATACAGAACCTGGTCCAAATATGTGACCCTGGACCACAAAACCAGTCATAAGGGTCAATTTTTTAAAATTGAGATTTATACATCATCTACATCATATACATAAATACGCTTTCCATTGATGTATGGTTTGTTAGGATAGGACAATATTTGGCCGAGATGCAACTATTTGAAAATCTGGAATCTGAGGGTGCAAAAAAAATCAAAATATTGAGAAAATCGCCTTTAAAGTTGTCCAAATGAAGTTCTTAGCAATGCATATTACTAATCAAAAATTAAGTTGTGATATATTTACGGTAGGAAATTTACTAAATATCTAAATATCTGCATGGAACATGATCTTTACTTAATATCCTAATGATTTTTGGCATAAAAGAAAAATCGATAATTTTGACCCATACAATGTATTTTTGGCTATTGCTAAAAATATACCCCAGCGACTTGACTGGTTTTGTGGTCCAGGGTCACATATATGGAAAATATGGAACAATTTGTCCATATTGAACTTCTGTGTCCCATCTTGTCACCACTAACAAAAAAGTACCGCGTGTTACCATGTTTTTGGACATGTACCACAAAATGCCATATAAATACCATGGTGTACATTTCAAAGAACCATGGAAACACAATCTGATACCATCATTGTACCGTGAACAGCACCTTATTTTTCCAAGCTTCATATCTGGAGATTTGGCAGTGCCATTTTTGGTCCATGTTGTTTCATTTGACCGACCCTAACCAAGAAAAACAGACTAGTGGATAGGAAAGCTTACTTGGTCCTTCTTTGCACCAAAGGTTTAAGCTCTTAGCAGTTGCTAAGGAATTTTTTTTTGTAAACCGTGGTATGCTTTATTTGGCCGACAACAGGACCGATGCGAAAACCGTTCAAGAATTAAAGTTGAGAAAATATATTCAGGCGTAGCTATGCATCTGGCACTATCGAACTGTAATACTAGCAGTAACAATATAAAGTAATGATATAATACTTTTGACAACAAAGATTGTAACAGTAAGACTATAAGCCAAGAGACAGTAGAGCAGCTAAGCGGTCGTGTCATGCTAGCAAGCCGTAGCCTACAATACAAGGCAAGCAGAGGGCTAAAAAATACGTTTACACAAACACAACCACGAGGACAGTCCCAAATGTGTCAAAAATAAACAGCAACGACTGGAATCAAGATCGTACGAGCTAAAACTGACAAAAAAATACTGCAAGGCTGAGTACACAAAGAGACGTTTAGGTCCTCTTTAAGGCTCCTCCGCTAACAGGCACCAAACGGATAGCCAGATGTGACCCGTTGTGTGTTTGGCAGATCATCCACGTTTCTTTTTCCAGTTGGGGAAGAATAACTTGGCACTTCTGCACTGCTGGTATAACAGCAGGGGAACGGGGTTGAATAAATCTGCCCTTCTTTGTCTTTCTTTAAGCTGATGTTGCGTTGTACATTTTAAGTGCGATTATTGTTGGCTTCAACAATAGTGTGTATTCATTCAGGGATCATTATGTCAAATATTGCTCAGAACTCAAATGCAACTAGACAGAAACCATGTAACCGCTTGCAGTCGTCTGGAGAAAGGCCACATGCAGAGAATTCAAGTTCACACCGAAGGTGCTGCCTGCATGCCAGCCGCATGCAAAAGAAATCTGGAAAGGTAACTTTACACTGCGTAATGTCAGCCGTTTTGATATTCTGTGTGGAATGTTCTGGAACGACGTGAGTGGAAGTGAGTTTTTCCTGTTTCCTGGTTTGTTTGTCTGAAAGTTGGCAGCTGTATTGTGACCTGAGATCAATGTCCTTCCAATTCAGACAATAAAAGTCTGCTTCTCTACAAAGCAAATAAAAATATGAAATGTAATTAAAAAAAACAAGTCTATAAAGACGAGATAAAGTTCTTGTATAAAACATAATATAAATGTTCTGCAAAATATATAATGGAAAATAAAATGTTTGGATAATACAACTTAGCTACTAATATATATAAATGTGTCTTTATATAATTTCATACATACACGTTTCAACATACCTACTGTAGTTTTCACTTAGTAGGTTTGATGAACAAAACGAAATTATCTAGAATTTCTTCACTCTTCTGATTTTAAAACATTTTCTCTGAATAGTCTTTAAAATCAGAAACAAATGTTTATGTCGTGTCCTAATCTTCAGCACAGTCATTTTCATTTATCAGTGACTGTCACCTAAATACAAAAAAGAAAAGAAAAAAGAATATCTTGAAAAGCAATAAAGAAATGATATACGTGGAATGTGCAAATGTACAAGTATATCTACATGTATATATAAAATCACATACATAAAGAGAATAATGAAATTAGCATTTGATCCCAGTTTACATATGATCCAGAAATGTAAATGATAGGATGACTAGGTAAACTTGAAAATGATGGTGTGTGTGTATCACAGAGGTGGGTGGAAGTTGATGGTGTGATGTCTAAGGCCTTGAGAGGTTTTATAGCTTTTCCCACAGCGACACTTGAAGGGCTTTCTCACACGGATCTGCGTCCTGTGCCCGTTTTTAGCATGGTACTTAATGCCATTCACATTCTGAAAGAGAAGATAGAAGTAAAAGCGGGAATGAGGGAAAGTCGAAAGCACTTCCAGAAATAAAAACCATTTATTACAATCCACTGCAGGTTTGACAGGAAGCAATCATCTATATTACTTATAATGTGACCAACCACAGCTTTTGTTTTTCTGCATTTTATTTGTAGATGATACTGCAGTTATATGCTGTTATTAATTTTTATTATAAAAACATTAAATATCTTATACCACAATAATACTTAATATTTCATATATAAAAACAATATTTTGAGTTGTGAGTGCAGTACCTTGTATCTTTTCTTGCATCCTGGAACAGGGCATGCGAAGGGTTTCTCATCACCCCCATTCATGCACATGGAGCTGAGGATGGACTCTGAGCTGATGGCACTTTCTGTAGTCCAGGACTCGTCGCTGTCAGAGTCTTCATACTCCACCTCCTCCTCATCACACTCACTGCCTGAGGCACACCAATAAACTTAAACTCTTTCATTAGTCATTTATGTGCTTCATATACTAGCTGATGAAAGAACTAATGAGAACTGAGAAAGCAAATGTGCCCTTTACTCCAATTATCCAGTGTTTCTCCATTAGGAGCATAATGTGTTTTTTCCCCACAGTTCAGGTTAGATTTAATATTTTTGAAAGAACTGCTGAATTGAATTCAACTGAAACTAACCGGCAGTCGGTTATTTATGTTTCTGACTCTTGGCATATTTCTTAACACAGAACATACACTGACATAATGATGCTTATTTTAATGTTCATTAAAAGACAAGCACAGTATGAAACAAACATCACCCAAGCTTGGATTTAAACCAATGGAAACTTTTCAGCACACACACACACACACACACACATTCAATTAGTGTGGCTTTAGGTTCAGGGGGAACTAACTCTCTGATAGCAAATGCAACAAACCATAATTTATAGGTTAATATAATAAATCAGAAAATTTCGGACTTAATTATAACAAATTAGACAAAAAAAAAAAGACATTAGAAATCAGCAGCCGGTAAATTCTCCATGAGTATTTTTAAACACTCCTAATGAGTTAGAAATATTTCAAATAATTGTCTTTATATATATAAATCTAAAGTGTGTAGTATCACACACACAAGCTCCATTCACCTGTGGGTGTGCTGCTGCGGAAGGAGGATGAGGGCGTGATTGGAGGGGTGACGGGTGGAGTTAGGCTGCCGTTGCTATGCCGAGGAGGCGTGGCCGTACTGTTACGCGATACACCTCCGGTGACTGATATAGCAATTTTAGGTTGGACCTTCTTCTTCTGAGTTTCTTGCTCTCTGCGTGCTGCTTCAGTCATGAACCTGAAGAAAAAACAAACAAAAGGCCATGTTAATAGATTGATGTGCAGGTAATGATGCACCTGAGGACTATTGTTCTTGGAATGAGCAAAACGGAAAAAGCTA